CAGCTTTGCTTGCTGAGGAATTCTGGGAGTTGAAGTCCACAAGTCTTAAAGTTGCCAAGGTTGGACACCCCTGCACTAGAACATCAACTAAGAGCAGACCCCACTCCTTACTGATGATGTTACCTATGGGTAATGAAACGTCTGCAAGAAAGCAACCAAGCTCAGAGAGCACCAAGGACCTGCCAGGATTCCAGGTAACATGCGTACAGCAAACAGCACTCCGAGGCAAGCTGGTTCCTCAAATACCCGTTTTTATTGGACATATCTTAATGGCATAGGCTGATGAAAACTGACTCTAAATGTTCCTGCAGTTTTCATCTAATTAAAAGTTTCCCTCCCCTTTCCAAACAGTCACATGGCCCAGTCAAGGTGTCATCCGGTTGCCTGGTTGACTTCACTCATCCTTCTTCCAGCCATCAGTGGGAATGTCCTTGGTTCCCAGGAGAAAGTATTTTGTTTTGGCTACAAAAGCCCAGCTATCTCTGTTCCCCGCTCCCTATCCCTCAGCTCCAGTCTGGCAACATTGAAGCCTCAAAATGGCCGCAGTCGGGTCAGCTTCAAGGTTGACAGGACCCCGAGTTGCCTTCTGCCAATCCATCTGCCCTGCTTCCTCCTCCTCATTTCCTTATTCTGTCTAAAGAGTAGAATTTGCCCAAGAGCTCCATGGAGGTTGAGGAGAGGCCCAATTTCCTTGCCTCCTTCCATTGAGAACAATAACGAGAGGGTGGAGCTCGGCTTTCAAGGAAGCCTCATTCAGATGCATAGCAGGGACGTTTGCTCTTGTCTTGACATCTCTTCTTCCGCCTTTTCGTTGCTACATTAGTGGTAAACTGTTGTTTGCCTCGTCTGGAAGCACAAGTGGGGGTTGGCCCACAAGAGGAAGTGGGCAAAGGTTCATGGCCTGCTGGAATACCATTTTTTAATTAAAGGAGACTAAGTGCTGCTCAAAGCCATTGGACATCTGATAGAAGAGAACATTTTTAGCTCAGGATGGAACTGTGGGACCCACTGATGATGTTAGGTAGTTTGGCAATGAAACGTCTGCAAAGAAACCACCAAGCTCAGAGAGCGCCAAGGACCCTCCACCAGGTGTTCTGTTGAGTTCTGTTATTACCTGTGGCAAACACCTAAAGGTTTTCTTCATATCAATGGACGTTTGAGACATGTTACCTTTCCCCCCCCTGTTTTGTGTGAAGCTCTTCTCAAGCATTCTGTTGGGTGGCAACCCACTAACACTTCCCACTCTCCTCTTTAGTTCAGGCTGAAGTGATTCCAGCCATCTTGGATTGTGGGCCCAATGGGGCTTTAGCTGGCAGGGGTGGCTACCCCCCAAGCGACATCTGCGTTTCAGCCCCCACCGGCAGTGGCAAGACTTTGGCCTTCATCATTCCAGTGGTGCAGGTGAGCTTCAGCTGGAATCGAGCACTGCTGGTTGTATCCGGGGGTGTGCAGGGCATCATCCAGAACCAAAGCCCCCACCCCCTCCACCCCCCCGTACGATACACCAGAGAGGATCGGTGGAAGCATCCAGGGAGACCTGGATTTCTGCATTTTGCGTATTTACTCCAATTGCTAAGATTTGATTTTCTTGCCTTAAAACTGAAAGCTTTGTAGTGAGTTTTAAGTACCTTTGAGAGATGAAATAGAAGAATTAGAGTGAAAGGAATGTAGGTCATCTGAAGGGACAACAGCAACTGATAATTGTGGTCAGTGCTCTGGGAACTCTCAGCCCGTGTTCCGGTGGGTGGGTGTTTCTCTGTACAGGGAGGTGTATTGGGGACACTTATTTGGGAGGATGTAGCAAAACTCTAACATTGTGTCTGATCTCCTGTTTTTGTTCTGGCAGGCCCTGTTGGACCGCGTTGTCTGCCATGTACGGGCTCTGGCAGTCTTGCCCACCAAAGAGCTGGCCCAGCAGGTACCATCTGAAGGGGCGGGGAGGTCTTTGTGGCTCCTATTTTCCCCTCCACACACAGCTTGAGAACAGTCCCGAGTATAAATACAGGAAAATGAAAGGAGTTGCTACAACCCTCTGCTCACACTCTTTTGTTGCATCTGCAGCAGAGCCTCATAAAATTGGCGGACAGACTTAGGGCTCGTCATGTTTGCTATGAATTTTGTTAGAGCCCCGAGAGCCACTTGCCGGGTGACCCAAGCATAGCGGGAGGTGCCACTGTTGTTATTGATGCTCCAGCAGAAGAGACTATGAGGAGCTCAGGCTGGAACACTGAAGGTTTTGGTGGTCTCTGAGCTTGTTGATTTCTTCCAGATGTTTCATTACCAGGCTAGGCAATGCCGTTAAGAAGTTTCTACGAGATCAGTAACTATTATTTGTTTTTAATAATGCTTTAAAAAATAAATGCAATAAATATTCATTTTTAGCCAAAAACAATTAAGATTACAATCAAGATGTTCCTAGAGCAGTGGTCTGCGAGAAAATTTTGGTGGTCCACAGAGAAATGTCACCCCCAGAGCAACCCCCAAAGCAATTAATCCAAGCTGTGCAGAACACAAGGCTGCGCCACCCACATGGCCCATGTGAACCCTCCCCGCCCACTCACTTCTTACCTGGCAAACTTGCCTGCTAAGTTGCTATTTTTCTTTTTTATTTCCCAACCATCAGCTGTTCTGCTGTGCCGGGAGATTTAGATTAGCTAGAAAGCAGGAAACCGTTGGATTTCTTGCTTTCTAGCTAATCTTTAGATCTTTGGCACTGCTTTTAAGCAGAGCGGAACTTTCCTTAGGACTGAAGCTTCTATTATTCAGTGCAGATTCAGGTAGCCGAAAGATAGATCTCTGAATGAATGTGTGAGCAACTCAATCTGTGAGCAACTCAATCTGCCTGCATGTTTTGCCTGATTTTGGGTAAAAGTTGCTCTTTTTTAAATAGTAATTTAAATATTTATGTAAATATTTATAATATTTACATACAAGCCATGCCCAGCCAGTCACATGACCACCAAACCACACCCACAAATTAGGTCACACCCACAGTTAAGAGATTTGAATTCCACCCCTGCCTCTGTGTGTTTGGGGGGGGGGGGGGGATTAGATCGGATCTCTCTCTCTCTCTCCCTCCCCCCCTCTCTCTCTCTCTCTCTCCCACCAACGTCAGCAAGCCACCGCCAGTCAAAATTCATATTAGTGGTCCACGGGATTTAAAATTATGAGTTTGGTGGTCCCTGAGGTCCAAAAGGTTGGCAACCGCTGTCCTAGAGAGCTTGATACATTCCTGGCAGGCCTTCCTTTATTTCTTACAAAAGGCTTTTTTGCAGGGTCAGGGGAGCCTCCCTTGGAGAGAATCCCACCACAGAATCTCCCGATAAGAAGTCCCCGCTTTAGCTGCTTCACTGTCAACCCCCAGGGGAGGAGTTACAACCTGGGCTCCCAGGTGACTTTGAGGCACGCAGCCTCAAGCACAGCGTGCAGAATAACAGCAGCTCTTCTGGCGGCCAGGGAACCTAATGGGAGATGTGGCCAGATGACCTCTCTGCAGAACCTTTGGGTGCTCCTAATTTTGGGGCTCCTTCTAACGAAGGATAGGTTGGAAAATAGGAGTTGAGGAGATGCCGCTCTGTTTACTGTTTTCCTTCCCCTCCCGGACGTTCACACGCTCATGTTCTGTTCATCTTTCTTTCAACATTGACTTCTTTTGATAGGTGGCTAAAATATTCAACATTTACACTGATGGGACTGGACTGAAAGTTGTCCTGGTTACTGGACAGAAATCTTTTGTGAAAGAACAAGAGTCCCTTGTCGAGACAACGTAAGTCCTGACCTCCTGGGCCTTTGCATTCATTTAATCGTGCTGCCTCGACTGGTTAGCTTTGAAACAAGAGAGATGAAATTTGTCACCATCCTAATTAAGAAAGACTCAACTGCAGCTTTTCTGACCCGGAAAAGCTGCCTGGGAGGGGCAGCTAAGGTCCAAGTCTGCTGCATATCTGCATTTGTGAATCTTTCATCCCGACATGACCTTGAGTACGTTGTGGCTTGGCCTTGGTTGTCCTGTTAGATGATGTGTGGTGCAGCCTCAGGGCTGGTTATCCTGTCAGTTTCCCGTTTGCTCGATGCTTTCTGGTTCCCAGAAAGAGTTGGGAAAACAGTCAGAAGCCTGGAGTGAACCAACATGTGGAAGGGGCCCAAAGCGGCATTCCCACGGGTGCTGCTGCTACTAATTGCTCCGCCTTGTTGTTGTTTTTGGGCAGGCTGACGGGACACCGTAGCCTGGCAGACATTGTGATAGCCACCCCAGGACGCCTGGTGGACCACCTGCAGCAGAGCCCCCAGTTCAGCTTGCGAGAGCTTCGTTTCCTGGTGAGGAAAATCAAAACCGTGTCTTTGGGCAGCCATTGTGAGAACATCAGAATTCCTCCTGTGTCCCAAAAGGTTTTCAGGTTTACTTCTGCATGTTCACATTTTAGCATGGAATTCATGAGGTCAGCCTATTTCTGCTGGCCTTTGCCTTTGATTGGGCCTGCAGATTGGGAGCAGGGGAGATGGCTGGCTAGCTGGGCTCTTGTTTAGTTCAGTGAGCTTTCCGGCTGTCGCTGGGATAACAACCTTACGCATCACAAGCTTTTTGCCCAAAGATCCTGCCCCTCCCCTGTCCTCCCCACAAGAACGAGCCACCAGCCCAGCCTAAGTTCTTGGCAAGACACTCTCACCGTGATTGCCAGCCTGCCAGACCAGAGTCCCGTGTCCCAATGGGTTCCCCCTTCCCCTCTTATTTCTGAGGGCAGATCATGGATGAAGCAGATCGCATGATCGACAACATGCACCAGGATTGGCTGCAGCAAGTCGTAGAGGCTGTGCACCGGCCTGAAAGGGGCTCCGGTCCCGGCGGGCTGTTCAGAAGGGTGCAGCCGAGTCCCTGCACGGCAGCCAGGTAAGAGGCTTCTGCGGAGAGTCTGCATGCGCCACAGAGACCCCCTCGGGAGGAGAGGGGACTGAGCCTCTCCAAGAACCAACCGGGAGGATGGTGGACAAACCAAGAGGACGGCTGGCTTTCCCGGAGGAAGGTTCTCCCTTCCCTGTTCTCCCTTTCCAGGGCTTGCTCCCCCCGGCTCCCTCTGCAGCGGCTCCTCTTCTCAGCCACTCTGACCCAGAACCCCGAGAAGCTGCAGCGGTTGGGCCTCTACCAGCCTCGGCTCTTCGCGCCGGTTCAGTCTGGGAAAGGGAGCGATGGGCTTGGCTCTCCTTCGTGCGTCAGCGAAAAGTACATTCTCCCCGAGGGCCTCTCCGTAAGTGTCCTCTTCCCTGGATCTTGTTTGTGAGTTTTGTGCCTTTGCCCAGGAAAATAGGTTTATTTGCTTAATACTGTCAGCGTAGCCATCCTCAAGGTAGTTACTCCAGGATGCCCCCAAAAGGCATCTAATAGGGCAGGAACTAGAAGCATCTCTTTCTCTGGTTTTGGAGACCAGACGCCTCTGTTTTCCAGCTTTGAAGGTGGAATAGATGCCTCATCGGCTGTTGCAAGAGTGGTAAATAAACGGGTGATTCATAAAAGAATTCAATCACTAAATAGGCCTTGGAAGCCTATTGCTGTAAAAAAAAAACAGGAAGCAGAACTTTTATCCCTTGTGGCCGCTGGCTGGCCTGGAAAAGCTCTTCAGAATATTCTGCCCCCGAGTGAGGCGGCTTCAGGTGAGCCAGACTCTCAGGGCAAATGCTGCCTTTCCTTCTCTCTCTAGCATTATTATGTCCCGTGCAACCTGAACTGGAAACCGCTGTTCCTCCTGCATTTCCTGGTGAGGCTGAAATTCACCCAAGTGCTCTGCTTCACCAACAGCAAGGAAACCTCGCACAGGTGAGGCTTCACGGCAGAGCTGAACTCGGATCAGGCCCCAGGTTGTGGGTCCCAGGTTCCTGTTGCCTGATCTGGGTGGCAAACAGCTCCGTGGGTTTCCCAGCAGGGATCTTGATCAGCTGTACTGATCACCCTCGCGCAAAAGCAGCTTCTTATCTTCCACGCAGCTGGTTCCCCTCTCCTCCAACTGTCACTTCGGTCTTTCCTCAGACTCTTCCTGCTAATTCAGGCCTTTGGCGGAGTGAAGGTCGCTGAGTTTTCTTCCAAGCTGAGCCCGAGCAAAAGGAAGGTGACCCTGAAGGAGTTTGAGCAAGGCAAGATCCAGCTGTGAGTGTCTCCAGGTATCCCCAAATGCTGTTCCCGTCTGCACCGGGGCCTCTTTGCATCAGGAGTTAGAGGCTGGGGCACTAACCAGGGCAGGCGCTTCTCTTTGAAGGCCCCCTCTACAGACCTCCAACAATGAGGTCTTTCTTCTCCACCAGGTTTGCTAGCAAATCTTGTCAACTTCCCTTGGCAATATAGTCCGCTCTCATGCTACATATTTTTGATTATAATCTCTAACACTCAGATTTACCCATCAGTGCTTCAGCTAGCACAGCTGGATATATTTTTTTTAGCGCCTTCAAGTCAGCCTCAATTCCTGGTGGCTGCCTGGACCAATGCCTGCAGTTTTCTTGGCAAGATTTGAGGGGTGGTTTGCCATTGGCTCCTCCCTAAAGGTGAGAGAGAGTGACTGGCACAAGGTCTCCCAGCTGGCTTTGTGCCCAGAGTGAGACCAAAACTGACCGTCTCCTGGTTCTAGCCCTTACCAATATACCAAACGGGCCCTCACAGCTGGAATCTGGACATGCTGGAATTATTTGTGGTCATGCGGGAAAGCAGTTGATTGCCTTGTGTTTTCTTCTGGGACAGTTTAATCAGCACAGATGCCACGGCTCGAGGAATTGATTTTGGTGGTGTAAAGTGTGTCATTAGCTACGATGCCCCTCAGTTCATCAGGACCTACGTTCACCGGTACTTTTCTCGGAGGAACGTGGGGGGGGGGGGGGGGGGGGGGGGGGGAGGCCCTCTGGAAATGGTGTTGGGGAATCTGATCTCTCCCTGAAAGCCCCAAGTTTCCCTTTGGGTTTTAGGGAAGGCCGATTGGGGGGAAGGGGTTGTTCATCTCCTCACCAGCTCGCCTTTTGCATTTAGGGTGGGCAGAACAGCTCGTGCTGGGAAGGCAGGCCTGGCTTTTAGCCTGCTCCTCAAGCGGCAGGTAGGTGGCCTCGTCCCGCCCTGGGGAAACCTTCCTCAGAACATGTTCACAGCCCCTGGGGGCGGCAGGGCATGTACCCCGCGCCACTTAAGAGTGGCATGTCTCAGTGGCACATTCAAGGGTGGGTCAGCAGAAGGCCCTGAGGTCTGGGCACCCGCTGGTACCTCTTTAGGAGGCTAGGTGCGCTTCTGCTGGACCTGTGAGTTGCTGGAGGAGGCCACCGTTGCTACAGGGTGCAGAAGTAGTGACGTTAGGCCCGCTTTCCTTCTCTAGGAGCATAGGTTCCTAAAGATGTTGAAGGACGCGGGTCTTCCAGAGTTGCAGCCGCAGCTGGTCAAGAGCGCCTCCCTTCAGCCTCTCCTCCAGCAGTACGAAGCAGCCCTGGCCGAACTTGCACAGACTGTCAAGGTACCCTGGCTTGTAGAGGGAGGGAGGAAGCCGCCGTCTCGGAGGGGGCCCCGGTGTAAACATTCACACAGCTGTACAGCTAGCAGACGTCCCTCTGCCTTTAGAGGCAGATTCTGTGTGCCAGTGATGGAAAAGTTCCATTTTCCATTCTTCAGATCCGTCATTGAGGCAGTTCACGTGCAATGCAAAACAAGGGACCAATGAGCAGGGTGCTGAGCCCAGCCTTGTTGATCGCAGCCGTGGATTTCTCTTATAAGCAAGCATCGCTAGCAAGCCAAGAATGCCACCTGCATGGGTTGATCAGCGTGTGGCCAGCAACTAGGGGTTTGGGGTTGCTAACTGCCTGAACCAACGGGATGCACAATTTGTCTGGTTTGTTCGCGGGACGGGCCTTGGTAGCCGTGATCACTGTGGGAGCGTTGTAACGGCTGCTCCTACCAGAGACGTCTCCTAGTGCGGCGCTTGGCCTGCGCTTGTTCTGCCGCTGATCCGCTTTCTGAAGTTCAATGGTGGGAAAAGGGCGAGAGGCAGCTGAGTGTCTCCGCTGGGAGAAAAAGCGATGCCTGGGCACAAGGGCTGGCAAAGCTTTGAACCCTTTGCTCCCATTTCTCGGGGTGGTTTAGCCAGAGCAGAAGTGAACTGCCTGCTCTTGTCTCTCTGTGAAGCCTGAAGAACTTAAGTTCTTCCACAATGGAGGAGGGATAACTGTCCAAACCGCTGTTCCAAGTGCCGAATGAATTCAATAGGCTTAACCTCCTTTCTCTTTCAACAGGAGGAGCAGGTTGGAAAGCGATTTTAAGGCAAAACACTTCATGGATAGACACCAAGGTGCTGCAAACCAGCAGAACTGGAACTCTGCCCCACGCTCTTGAGCAGCACTGCGAAGCAGGAAGGATAATTTTCAGCTCTCCAAAACAGATTAAGAGAAGCCTCTCTGGGGCAGAAGACTTCAGCCACTTTCATGAGCAACCCTGAACAAGGGCGCAGTGGAACCAATTAATATTTGAAATGACTGAATTGCCTCTCCAAAATGTGGCAAACCAGTGGTGCCCAAGATGTCCTTGTTGATGAAATAACACTGATGCTAATTGATTATATCCGGTCTATTTCTAGCTATGTCTCAGTTACAAAAATGACGCTATTTGAGTGCATGCGTTCTGCTAAGCTGTGCAGCAGCCCTTCGGGTTCAAGGGAGACATGCTGTGTGGTACAGATCTTGTGCGGACACAGAAGTTGCTCTGCGGTCCCAATGGAAGCAGCCTAGTGCAGCCAGGGACGCTGTTGTAACTGGAGGTGTGATTCCGCGATGTAGTTCGCAGCTTTTCTGTCAGGTTTCCATGTTGCCTGTCTTCAAAGTCAGTGGAGGCTTTGCGGCCCAGAGCTCCCTAGCAGCTTAGGTCAGAAGCGGCAGCCTCTCGTTCCTGTGGCTGGATGTCCCAGGGCTCAGGGTTTCTTGCACGGCCTTTTCGTAGCCCTAATGTGCTTGACCTTCCCGGATTCCAGTGCCCTGTAGAACAACAGGCAAGGCCGTCCATTCTGATGCCATGGCCCCCACCTCACCTGAACTCTGGTCATCAGGGACTCAATGCTGGTGGACTGTACATAATCCAAGACTTGCAGGCCTGGTCAACAAACGCCAAGATTGAGCCGAGACGTGGCGTTTCTATTTCTTCATTTATTAAGCCTCTGCTTAAAAGTCAATGTGGTGACTCAGGGCATGGCACAGAGATAACACAGCCGGCAGTTCAAACTGCCCCTTTATTGCTCCAAATTTCCCCCAATACTCCCATGTCTCTGGCAAATCCCAGAGCAAGTGATGACAAACACCCATACAGACCTCTGGCTGCAAATAGTCCAGCCCAGCACTTGTACACCATGATGCACAGAGCAATAAATTCAGTAGGGCAAATCCAAGGAGTTCAGGAAGCAAAGGAGTCAGGTAATTAGTCCAGGAAGCCAGAAAGAATGCAAGGAATCCAGGAAAGTTTCAAACTCAACACTTCAGGAATTCAGTGTTTGTTCCCAACAAATGCCCCTCCCCACAGAGTCTCGAGTCTCAGTTCCCAGGTATGCCTTCTGAAGAGGGGCGGGGTGCTCTCCTCCCAAGTAGTCTGCTCCATCTGCACTCTTCTCACCTTCACTCCATGCTTGGATCAGGAGTGGGGTGGTCCTTGCCGCCCATCTCCCCCATAAGGCAACTTTGAACGGCTTACAGATTATAAATAAATAAATAAATAGAAAAGTAATTAGAATATTCAAATTTTAAAACCATGCCAAAACCAGGATTTAGGGATGGCACGGGAATGAGGTCTTGCCTTGTCAACTATCTCCAGGCATCAGCCCGCTCCCTCTGGGCCCCCTTATTACGGTAGTTAGTGGTGGACTGCTGCCAGTTCGGACTGGCTCGCCCATACCGGTGGTTCTGACCACCCGCCCCGGTGCTATCCTGTCCGATGTATCCGGCTCGCTTGCCCCGCCCATGCAGCCCAGCTGGTTCCTGCTACTCCCTGGCTGCCACACGCAGGAAATCCCCACGTTCTTGCAGCCCTGTGCATGCCCACATTTTCAGTCCTGCATTCGGCGAGCCAGTTGTTACAGTATGCGCGGCCCGTCTCTGTACGGCAGGCTCAAAGCCTGTTCAGATCTTCACAACCTCCAGGCAATGTTACAAGGTGTTTTGTTTTGTTTTAAACTATAAATCATCTTATTGATCCAGAGTCAATAAAAATGCAAGAAACTGGAAACGTTTGCGTTTAGCGCTAAACTCACCAATCCCTCCCATCTTGTGATCTCCTCAGGAGGAGCAGCCACCTGGAGCACTTGTGGGCAATCTCAGTTCCTCTCCTTGTCTGGCATCCCATCACTTTTAGCGGAGCCGCCTTTTTTTTATTCTTCTAATGTTTCTTTTTCTTTACTCTCTATTTTTCTCCATCTTTTTTTTTTTAGTTCATATTAGTTTTTAGACTTGCAAATTGTAATCTTTAATAAAATTGTATCACTTCCGTTTAACAATTTTTCACCTTTTTTCCACTTCAAACGATTTGCCGAGATCTTACTAAGTCTTCCGTTTGATGTAAGCATATTAACCGAAATCCAGTACGGTGTGATGAGAAATACTCAATTCATATTTTATTTTATCGTAACGTCCGTTGTGAACCGGAGCTTCAGGTGTGTGCATTTATAAGGCCAACTAAACGCCGGCACTCCCGAACAGCCCATGATATTTGCTACAACCAAGAAATCTCGTAACACCCCCTAGAGTTGACACACACACACACACACACACCCCATTCTTAAGCTCACAGTGGGTCATTGTGGGCTGCTTTCCCTGTCGCTTGTCCCCACAAGAGTTTTGGTTTTGCTTTTTCCAACAGAAGAAGTTGCTGCCTGCCCCTAAGGGCGGAACCTGGCCTGGCCTGGCTCCCAGTTTTCAGCTCTTTGCCCCGTTCTCCCTTCTGGGAGAGCCTCTCGCGGAAGGACGCATGTGAGCACCGGCCTCCCTTCCCTAGTCTTCAGCCGTTCCATCCATCCAGCTGGTGGAAGAATATGGGGCTGGAGCTCTACCTGGACCTTCTGTCCCAGCCCTGCCGGGCTGTCTACCTCTTTGCCAAGAAGAACCACATCCCCTTTGAGCTGAAAAACGTGGAGCTGTTCAAAGGTGAGGAGAGCCCCATACAGGTGCCTATCTGGGGAGGGGCTGTCTCAGCTGGGGGGGAACAGAGATGGAGCTGCCTTCGGGGGGACCCTTTGGCTCTCTCTGGCCAGTGGTTGGGTGGGCCCTGCCTTGTTCGTTGGGTTTCATGGGGCCCAACAAATGGGAGGGGACTCTGCCACGGGGTGATAGGAGACGGGGTGCGGGGGGGGGCAAACTGGAGGAAAGGTCTTGCACTGGAAAGCTTTTGTTACGCAGGTGCCTTCTTCCTCTTGCCAGATTCCATCCTGGGGACTAAGGTGCCTGGAGCAGAGGCGGAAGGGGGGGCAACGCACCCGTCGGGTAAGAGGAGCTCAGGCTTTACATGAATGGAGAACCGAGGTATGGTCTGCAGGTGCAGAGACAGGAGAGGGGGCGTCCTGTGGTTTGGCACCCTCCAATTAGTTTCTCCCAAATGGGTGGAATGAATTTCAGTTGGGTCCCCAGCAGAACTGCGAACTGGGATGCCTCTTGACTTCTCAGCAGCGGGGAGGACGACATGAGGGCTACCGTTGAGCACCTGCTCGCAAGGTGTAATATTGTTAGGGATCTTCCCCTGCTGAGTTGCCTTAACCATCAAGAATCCAGTGAGATCTTCCCACTGTTGGAAATGCCTGCCACTGTTTTCCTCCTTCGGGGCTTCAGGTGCGCGTGGCGTGTCCCAACAGAGCCAGGATGACGCATTGGGGAAAGGATGGGGGCGTAAGTAAGTGCCCGGCCCCCAATCATTTCACTGGAAGCCCTCTTGCAGCAGTGCAGAGTTCCCTGTTTGCTATGTAAATACAACTTGAAAGGGTCCAAAGGGCCATTTGAAGTTGCAAAGAGAGCTCTTGTCTGCACCCAAACTGGCTGGGGTTCTTTCTGCTGATAAGATAAGCAACCTGATTCTTGTACTTTGGCTCTGTGGCCGCTCAAACCACCTTTGAGTGTCGTATCCAGTACAGTCTTTCTGTAACTAATCCCAGTCCAGGGCTATGTGGGTCTCTTGTGACCTGGCAGCTTACAAAAAGATCTTCATCATCTTTGCGTTGGAGAGTTTAGAGATGCACAGAAATAAATTACAACATTCATTATTCATTTTCCAAAGTAAGTTGCTACGGTATGAAGCCTGGAATACGACGCTGCGCTCCCATTTGTAGCTTAAAAGTTGTGAGTTGACAGCTGTCTGTGCTGTCTGCTCAACCGCTTCTTCCCTGGGTAGAAAAAATCGTTGACCCATTTCTGATCCATATCAGATTTGCTAGAAGAATCTAATTCTGAGATTATCTGACACCATCTCCAATTTCCCAGTCAATTTCAACTGCAGAAAGCCGAGTTCAGACAGTTCTCACTTCACCATTTCAGAGGGACCCGTAAGCACAACTTTTACCCATCCATCTTTCTAGCTGTAATTCAGAGAAGACTTGGGTCGAAGGAGATTTCTGGTGTCCACTCCAGACAGACGTAGCCAGGAACTAAGGGGAGGGGGCCTTCTCTGCTTTTAGCCTCTCTCGAGCCTCATGGTGGAATATCTGGTTTGACTTCAAGGGTCGCAGCAGCGCAAGGAGGCCACAAGAGTGAAGAAAGTCCCTATCTTGAAGGATGAGACCTTTATCTTGTCAGAAGGGTAAGGAAAGCTTCCCCCGTCCCGTTTCTCCTTGTCTAAAGCCAGGCTTGGAGAGAAGGTCAGAGGAGGCCCAGCAGGGAACAAAATCGCTGGGACCCCCTGCAGGTTTAGGGCCAGGGGTTACAATGGATTGACAGCTAAAGACATTCCTTGGGGAAGTCTTTTCTTATTTATCCCAGATGACACCAGGTAACAAGGCATTCATTCCTGAGTTTGATTGCACAGTGGGAGGGTGGGAATTCATCAGAAATGGAGCAGAACCAGCATGCCTCTCTGTGGTTATCTTCGTTTACATGAGACATCTGGAAATGTTCTGGAGAACTTCAGTAGACCAGGTGGACAATTGAAAGCCCAGAATACTTTTGCTTGTCTTAGTTGTTTCGCCTTTGACAATCCACATTCTGAAGTGCCTTAACGAAGCCAGGTGCTCAGTTGTGTTTGCTCATCGGCCCCTCCTCTGCAGAAACTAACTCCCGCCTTCCTTTTGTGACCCTTTTGTGATCTTGTCCTCGATTTCCGTGAATCTGGTCAGCACGGCCATCCTTTTGTATCTGAGTCGCAAGTACAACACCCCAGATCACTGGTACCCATCTGATCTACAGAAACGAGCAAAGGTGGACGAATACCTATCGTGGCATCAGGCTACCATCAGATCCAATGCTCCCAAGACAATGTGGATTAAGGTGAGCATTGGAAGAGTATCTGGAGATTTGGGAAGCCTCAGCTTGACCCAGAAGATTTAAGATCTGTCCCCAACTGTTGAAACCTCCAATCTGTGTTCATTATATAATTTGCCCAATACTTCACTTTTTTCTCCAGGTTGCTCATTCACGCGCACCCAAGGCAACACTCCCCCTTCCTCCCCCCTAAAAAAATTATCTACTCACCTACAAGATTGCAATCTTCCCCAATCCCCTATAGTGATAAATACTTCTACATAATGTTATATTTTACTTCTTTCCTTTATTTATTACCCTAACATTGGCAATCAAGTACAGTTAATACAGCCTTTTTTGTAAAACAGAGAAAAAAGAAACAGATTAAGGTGACAAAATGGCAATTGCTGCAGGTGGTTGAATAGGTTCTCTCCCCACATGCCCCCCTCCTCCCATCTCTATCCTACTACATGCTGCCATGTGGCTCAAGATCAAAGGTCAGCATTTGCAAGTACAGTAATTTCTCATCCAAAGGAGGGACTTCAGTAGATCCTTCCCTGGAAGATGTTGAAAAGAGAGCAGGCCAAAGTTGATCATCCGTCCGTCCATCCATCCATCCATCCATCCATCCATCCATCCATCCATCCATCCATCCATCCATCCATCCACTTTTAGAGTACCATCACAGTTTGTGACCTCAGTTGCATGAGGTGGCCACTGCTAAGAACCTCCTCTTCTCTGAGACAGCTCCATCTCCACAAGAGCATCCCAAGAACAGAATGTGGCTGGCCTTCCACATGCTCCCGTAGCTCAGTGCTCTGGCCCCACCAAGGCCACGTGGACATCACAAGCAGCTCACCCTGCTCAGCCACCCACAGTTACTTCTGCTTCTTTGGAAAGGAGTGGTGGCTGGTGTCCTCGTGCCAAAGGGACAAGGCAGGGATGCCTCTTCTGGGCAGGCAACTACCCTCAAGCTCCAGCCTACAGCTTACTGAGCTGAGCCCAGAGTTACTGCAGAGGTTACTGGATTTTGTTGCTCAGGATCCAGGTAGCCGTGCAAATGGTCTTGGATGCAGCTGTGCAGAGCTCTCTAAATGCTTTCAAAGGCTGCCCAGCCCGGTTTCCAACAACGTGCCTTGGGAGAACAAGTTCTACAGTTCACCCGCTAACTGAAAAATTAGCTTCCTTTGTATTCTCCCTTTATTCAGCTTGATTGCTTACTTTTGCTGCTATTAAGGGAAAAACATTTAAGGCACCAAGTGTACCGCTATACATGAAGGCGATTCATTCACGCATGAGGTAGAAAGGACAGTGTATCTTTTGCTTGCTTAAAAGAGCAAAGAATCCAGAGGGAGGGAATGTACGCCTCTTGGGTAGACTTTGAGCGTAATTGGATTACAGAAGGAAGGAGCCGTGTTTATTTTCCTAAGGCAAAGCAAACACAGCCAGCAAGGTGTGCATTTCTGGCTCAGAAAATAGAACCACCTGGGAGGAGAGTAAGGCCTTTTCCTGGGTGGGGGGGAATCCTCAAATGCCCAGGTGTGTTCATATCAGGTGAAGGCCAGGAACTTCACTTTGCCCTAGATGGATTTAAAAAAAAGGGAAGGGAAGAAGGGAGCAGGCATCTCCCACACATAGACTCCCTGCCGAATGACAGGAGGGCATTGCAATAGGGGAGTTTTAGTATGTCTAGAGTCATTTCTGAATGTTTCTGACATGGAGTTTGCTACTGTTTATGTGGACTGTCCTGCTCGGTCAGTCTCCTCCACGTCTAGGGGAAATTAAAGGGTTTCTAAACACGAGGAGGCACATCTAATCCTTCCCTTGATGCCCCTGAGCCCACCTCCCCATCGGGGCCTGGGCTGCTTTCTCGTAGGGATGACCGGTTCTCCTCCCTCTGATGCAGGTGCTGATCCCCCTGTTAACGGGGCAGCCGCTCCCGCCAGAGAAACTGCAAGAGGTGATGGACGGCCTGGCCATGGCGCTGGATTATTTGGAGGGGTTGTTTCTCCAGGACAAGCCCTTCCTGGTGGGCAGTGAAGTCTCTCTTGCGGACCTGGTGGCCATCGTGGACCTCATGCAGGTGACCCTGAGGGTGCTGGGCCCTCATCCGCCCCTGGGCCTGATTGCCCTTCAGCAGCAGAGGGCTGTGCGTTGGCCAAAGTGCCAGGAGAGGAAACACACTAAGGAAGCAACGGAAAGACCCGGAGAGCTCCAGGGGGCGGGCAATGGGGGGGGGGGGGGACAACCGCCAATGGGCTGCAGGCTAACGGGGGGGGGGCTCTGGTGACACCCAGAGGGGCTGCTGGGTCTTTCCTCTCAAAGGTGCAACGGGGGCTTTCCCAGGTGCACACATCACCTGCCCTTCCAGCTAGACCAGACCTGAAAATCAAAGTCCCACCTGCTAAAAACACTTTTATAAGAGCTGCGGTGGCGCAGTGGCTAGAATGCAGTACTGCAGGGCTACTTCTGCTGGCTGTCGGCTGCCTGCAATTTAGCAGTTCGAATCTCACCAGGCTCCAGGTTGACTCAGCCTTCCATCCCTTCCGAGGTGGGTCAAATGAGGACCCAGATTGTTGGGGGCAAGAGGCGGACTCTGTAAACCGCTCAGAGAAGGCTGTAAAGCCCTGTGAAGTGATATCTAAGTCTACATGCTATTGCTATTTATTGTAAGGCCAGAGGAGCAGAATTTGGCGAGTCTGAATGAGCTTTGCGCTCCCTCCTTTTTATCTTCAAGACATCCAGGAAGGGTCTCGCCTGAGACTCTTACTCAGGTTATAATCCTAGTCTGGACTAGTCAGATTTCTTCTCTCCGGCCATTTTCTTAGCAGAGGCTTTTTCTCCTCTTCCTCTGCCCATTGCACTCCTTGACTTATGAAAGGGCGTCACCAGCTGCCCCCCTTCCCCACGGCAAGAGCAGCCTCCAGGAAGGGAGACCTGCATCAGAGCAACCCTCACTCTGGTGGGACAAGAAGGGAGGGGCGCAGGCCCCTACGGGACCTGAGCAGGTTCAGTGGCACAGGCTAGAGAGCCCACAGATCTCTCTGGCCCTGATCTTCTGCCAGCTTATCTGATGTCGCTGTTTGCCTCCCTCCACATTTCCCCCCCCTGTTTCTGCAGCCTGTGGGCGTTGGGTGTGACATTTTCAAGGACAGGCCCAGACTGGTCGAATGGCGCAAAAGGACAGAAGATGCGATTGGGAAGGAGCTCTTCCTGCAAGCACACGAATTGATCCTGAACATTAGTAAGCTGAGCACCATACAGATCGACCCACAGCTGAAGGAGCAACTGGCTCCTGTTTTGTTAAAGATGATGAGATGAGTAAAGGAATTTCACAAGGGAGGATAGCGTGCCTGGTCATCTTTCCATCTCCGGGTTTGTTAACTTTTCACTTAGAATTATGTCTACTGGAGGCCATCCTGGCTAAAGCCCCCTCAGGCGTCCAGCGGCCGTCGCACGAGCTCCACTGTTATGCTGGAGTCATCCTGATCCCTGGAGACTGGCTCTCTGCCCACCAGGACAGACCCTCTGCCCTTTCAACCACCTCCAGGAAACGCGTGGCTAAGCAATGGGTGGAAGGGAGCTGGTGGAGCAGAGAGGCTCCGTGACGTGTGTGCCCCACCCAAGTCAGAAAGGGACAGGGGCCACAGGGTCTCCTCCTGGGGAGCCTCCAGTGATCACCTGCCCTGCTCCCAAGGCGTCCTCCCTCTTTTCTCTACTCCTGGCCTAGGGCGCTCAATGCCGAGGATGATGGGTCCTGGAAAGGTGGTTGCCCCCAACCTTCTCCCTATGCCTGGGCGCCTCTAGGCTCTGCTCAGCTAGACAGGAAAGGTCACGTCATAGTGGAGGCCAGTCCCTCTTTCGTCCAGATTCCTGGCCAATTCCAGCCTGGTAGCAGCTTTGTGGTCCATTTGGAGAGGAGCAAACAAATACCCTGTTTCCCCCAAAATACAACCTACCCTGAAAGTAAGCCCTAGCTTGATTTTTACACAGGCGCCCAATATAAGCCCTACCCCCCAAAATAAGCCCTAATTAAGATCCCACCCAACTCCAGAGTGGACAGGTAAAAATTAAGCTAGGGTGGGGGTGGGGGGGTGGAGCTACTACTACTTACCTTTGGACAGTTGTAGCCAGGCCACGCACACCCAGACACCTGCCTTTCCGGCCCATTTCTTTTGCAGCTGGCAAGGCTGGCCAGGCTTTCCTGAAGGCCTCTGGAGCTGGTAACAAAGCTCTGGATCGATCCTGAGCTCTCTTATCGCTGCAGAGGCCTTCAGGATAGGCTTGCCGGCCACAGAAGTTCCTGAAGGCCTCTGACAGCGAAAAGGAGGCCAGGGGCAACGTGCGCAAAGTGAGACTAGTCAGTAGATGACACCCTCCCAAAATAAGACCTGGTGCCTTTTTTGGTGGCAAAAATATATAAGACGGGGTCTTATTTTGGGGAAACCATGGTAATTCCTATCAATTTGTGTTTCTACTTGGAGAAGCAGCATGATGCAGTGGTTAAGGCCCTGGATTGGGAGCAGGGAAAGCTCCTGCTTAGGCAGGGAAGCCAGCTGGGGGAACCTTGAGCCAATCTCCCTCCGCCCCCAGTTCTGCCTGGCTGATGAGAAATTCCTCCTCCGATAAACATTGAGAGCCACGCCAGGTAAGTGCCAAGGCAAGCAGACCCACAATCACGCAACTCAGAAAGAGAGACGCATAACATCTTTTCCCACTTGACCTGAAGTTCCATGTAGACTTGAATTTCAAGGGATTTTGGAGGCAAAAGGGGGTGGAGGCCAACAGGCGCAGGCAGTCCTCAATTTACAACGGTTCATTTAGTGACCATTCAAAGTTACGACATCACTGAAAAAAAGTGACATGGCCATTTTTCATACGACCGCTGCCACGTCCCTTTGCTCATGTGATCGGAATTTGGATGCTTGGTCACTGGCATGTATTTATGACCGTTGCTGTGTCCCCATTGGTCAAGTGATCCCCCCGCTTGCGACCTCCTGTACAAGCCAAGTCAATGGGGAAGCCAGATTCACTTAACATCCATGTTAGTAACTTTGCAACTGCAGTGATTTACTTAACAACCCTGATGTCAACCTGTAAACAGGGGTCTCCAACCTTGGCAACTTTAAGGCTTGTGGACTTCAGCTCCCAGGAATTCTGGGAGTTGAAGTCCACAAGCCTTAAAGTTGCCAAGGTTGGGGACCCCTGCTGTAAAACATTCCTATGCCTGTTTCCAAGTTGCCATAAGAAAGAGGGTTGAAAAAACCTGAAGGAACATAAGGTGAATGAACTCAGAAGCCCATTCCAACCTCATCTCAAGCAAAATTCCTTAACCAGAGAACGTGAAGGTGCTTAATTGGAGAATCTGATTTATGACACACCGGGGGTGGGTGGGGTGGGGGACAGGGTTACAGGGGACTGTAAATTACGTATGCCAGAGTTGGCTTCATACAGGTCATGCCAGTATGTCGATCCTAATAAATCTTTGGCAGTTTTTTTAAAGTTTGGCTCGAGGCTCATGATTTAATTAGGGCAATCGCTGGAATCCTGACAGCAAGCCAACTCTTGCTTGGCTGGCAAAAAAAAAGTCATGAAGTGAGGCAAAATTCATTTAACAACTGTCTCACTTAGCAACAGTAATTTGGGGCACAGTTGTGGTCGTAAGTCGAAGACTACCTATACTTTTCACTCAGCTGCTGCCACTGAATGGCTGCAGGGGTTGAACAGGCACCCAGGAGGTGGGAAGAGGGTCCACATGGGAATGTTGGATTTTTGCAGACCTTCCAACTGGCAAAACAGAGGAATCGGTTTAACAGATTGGTTAAATTAAGTCACTTTCATAGCATGCCAAGCTCAGTTAGCGACAACCTGGGTTTTTAGTTTAGTGTATCATGTGAACAGGTGGGCATAGCAGCCAAATTAGCTGTGCTACTGATTGAAAACAGGATTTCAACTGACGGCTGGAAAAGGACTCACTTTAAGGGGAGCAGAGCCCCCAAAATGCTTCAGGAAAGCCACCATTTCTATTGTTGATTTCCCGTTTCTTGTGGGAAGGGGATGAAAGCGACGTGGGCCATCAATAGCAGAAGGGCCCATGTTGGTTACTGCTGCCGCATCCACTGGGCTCCGTCCTGCCCTGGAGAAGGAGGGGTGCCGAACCCCCAAACCCCTCACACCCCCAAGCCACGAGAGCAGCCGCGGGCGTGGCCTAAGGGCTGCCCACCAGGTGGCTCGGGCAAAGGCCTGGCCCGATTGGGCCACGGGGCCGCTTGTTCCGTCAGCCAATCAGATGCCTGAGGTTTCCGTTGGTGCCGCCCACCTTCTGGCTGGTCCTCGCGATGGTGCTAGAGCTCTACCTGGACCTGCTTTCCCAGCCTTGCAGGGCGGTCTACATCTTCGCCAAAAAGAACAACATCCCTTTCATGATGAAGCCTGTGGAGATGTTGAAAGGTGGGGGCAGATGGGGGGGTGGCGTTCCCCTGCAGCCCCGCTTTTCTCCTGCCCCCCCCCCAATCTTCTCCAGGCTCCACCACCACCTCCAGGAAGCTTCAGAGGCGGCCAGCGGGGCCTGAGGGACGCCTGTGGGCATCTCCTTGGCCATCTGCCTCGGCCATGTCCTGTCCTCCCCAGGGAGCAGATTCCAGCTACCCCATCCAGAGGCCGCCCTGTCTGAGGCACCGGAGGGGCAGACAAGCCGCCTGGAAGGTTCTCCGAGATCTTGGAGCCATCGGCGGTCTTCCCACCCTGATGCTTTCGCAGAGTCCTCTTGGTTTTGCTGGCTGAGGGATTCTGGGAGTTGAGGTTGCCATGGTTGGAGACCCCTGCTCTAGGGCACAGCTATCACGGTGGAGGTCAAAGAGAAAGGGCTTCCCCCCCAACAGTCGTCCCCCCCCCCCAGCACCTTTGGGGATCCTGGGGGCTTTGGGGAGGGGAATAGTGAGAAGAGGCCTGTCTGGGATTTTTGGACCCTCAACCCACCTGGAGCCCCCCCTCCTGGCACCTGTGAGTTAGTTTGGGGGACTGAGCTCAGCTAAGAAGCAGAGGGGAGGATGGGTGGAAAGCCTGTTGCTTTGGGTTGTGGACCAGTGGTGGGATTCAATTTTTTTTTACTACTGGTTCTGTGGGTGTGGCACGGCTTGTGGGTGTGGCAGGGGAAGGAGATTGCAAAATCCCCCTTCCCTCCCCACCCCACTAACCTGCTTTTCAGCTCCGTTCTCCTGGGCAGGGCAACCAAAGGAGACCCAGCCGATCAGCCGGGACTCAATGGGAGGCGGAGAAAAGTTGGGGTTGGCGGGGCCAGTCAGAGGCGGCATTTGCCGGTTCTCCAAACTACTCAAAATTTCCTCTACCGGTTCTCCAGAACTGGTCAGAACCGGCTGAAGACCATCTCTGTTGTGGACTTTCCTTTTTGGTTGATACGGTTTTATCCATGTTAGGGCAACACTTCACTGAGGAATTTAACAAGGTGAACATCCTAAGAAAAGTGCCTGTCCTGAAGGATGGAGACTTCATCCTAGAAGAGAGGTGAGAGCTCCGGATGAGCAGGGGGGGAGGGGGGAGCAGCCACGCCCGCTTGGAGCAACTGAAGGTCGGCTGCTTTCAGATCCCCAAGAGAAAACAAAGCAGCATTATAGGCCCAAGTAGAAAAGCAAGTGGATTTGTGCCCTGCGGCTGGAATAAAAAGTTCCTTCCAGGGGCAGCTGGGCTGGGGACAGCGGTACCCGCAGTTTGAATGCCGGAAGTGTAAGAGGTCACCTCTCATTCGGGGCCTGCTGGACCCCCAACCGAAACTCTCCTGGCTGCAGTACTAACTAGCCAAAGGCTAGACCGAGGCCAAAGGGGTGAAATCCTGGTCTGCTTCCGCTAATCCAGGGGTGGGCAAACTACGGCCTGCGGGCCACATCCGGCCCGCCGAAGATTGGTACAGAATTAAGGTTTCATGTGAATGATTGAATGATTGCATTCATTTGATTTTGACTTGTAATGACAGGCATTTCGACACCAGGTGGCGGCCTGTCTGTCAAATTTTAAAAGTCAATGAGGCCCCCAAGCCAAAAAGTTTGCCCACCCCTGCGCTAATCTGTCTCCAATCTTCCCTTTTGTGGTTGAGAAGATGGTCACACAGCTGCTCCAGAGGTTTCTGGATGAAACGGTCACACTTTTGGATGATCTCTAGTGGGAGCGGGATGGGGGTAATGCATCAATCCTCGTTTTACTTGACCCTCAGCCTCGGCGGCTTTTGATACTATCAACCATGGGATTCTTCTGGGGTGGCTTCGGGGGATGGAAGTGGGAGGCCAGTCTCAGTCAGTGTTGATAGGAGGGGAGAGATCCAGCCCTCGCCCACTGCTTTACGGGGTTCCTCAAGGCTCGGTACTCTCTCCTCTCCTGTTCCACATTTATATGAAGCCGCTGGGTGAGATCATCCGGTCACCATGGGCTGAGGTATCACCAATATGCTGATGAGGCTCAGCTGTATGTCTCGGCCTGTGGTGAGTTAAGTGTTGCTGTGTCCTCCCTGCCTGGAGGCTGTTATGGGCTGGATGGGGAGCAACGGGTTGAAACTAAACCCCTGCAAGACCAAGTGGCTCTGAGTTTGGGGTTCGTTGGCTCAGGGAGAATTACCACCTTTAGTCTTGGATGGGGTGGCACTACCCCAAACAGACCCTGTGCATAATCTAGGCGTTTTCCTGGACTCATGACTGCTGTTCGAAGAGCAGGTGGCAGTCGTGGCCAGGAGGGCCTTTGCGCAACTGCGGGTTGTGCACCAGTTACGCCCTATCTTGGACCAACAGTCCCTACTCACAGTCACTTATGCCCTGGTCACTTCCTGTCTTGATTAGTGCAACGCAATACATGGGGCTGCCCTTGAAGAGCATCCGGAAGCTCCAGTTGGTGCAAAATGCAGATGCCTGCCTGGTTTTATGCAGACCCCGGTGTGCACATGTGTCACCTTCCTGCGGGAGCTGCATTGGTTGCTGATTTGCTTCCGGCTGCAATTCAAGATGTTGGTTGTCCCCTTTAAAGCCCTTCATGGCTTGGGACCAGGTGATCTGAGAGAACGTCTCCTGCCGGTCACATCCACCCAACCCATCAGAGCGGGGAGGCAGGGAATGTGACGGGTCCCATCCCCGAGGGAGATACACCTGGGGGGACCCAGAAGAAGGGCCTTCTCCGTGGTGGCTCCCTCTCTCTGGAACATCATCCCCCGCCCCCCCCAGAGATTAGAACGGCCCCCACTCTAATACTTCTTCAGATGGTGGGGGGGATTTTTTAATTTTTCATTTTTTTTCAGATTTTGTTCTATTGTACTTTATTGATTCTTTTTGTTTGTTTTTATTGTTTTATTTTAAATATGGTTTTACATTCTGTAAGCCGCCTCAAGTCGCCATGGGCAAATAGTCATGGCAATATAAATTCAATAAATAAATAAATAAATTCCGAGGAGGGGCTGCTCAGATGCACGGCAGTGCGGGATGCACAGGGCAGCAGTGAAAGCCATTGTGCACCTGGTCAGCTGTGGCAGCAGAACATCTGGCCTTCCCTCCAGCGAATCCACAGCTCAGGGATCTGGGCTGAGCCTGGGAACCAGGCAGAAACGCTGGCTGCTCAGCCAGCACGTTTGGGTTTTCCTTAGCAAGGCTGGGGTTTGTGCATGAAAGGCATGCTTGGACACCACCCCCACCCCCCGAAGGAAGGAGAGGCGTGTGACTGCCTCCCACTAGGGCAACTCATGCTGCCCCAACGCCCGAAAGAGAACAGCCAAGGCAGCCAAGGGGACTGAAGCAGCCAAATCCAGCAGAGGGCATTGAGCGGATGGAGGCTGAGCTTGTAAGGGGCTGGTCCCAATGTAGGAAGAGAGAGTCCAGAGGTCCGGTTGAGTATGACGGGTGGGGTTTTTACACAGAGGAGTAGCAGGTTCTGCCTTAGCAGGGACAAGGGCCTGGCATCGGAGCAGCCCCCACCCCCCATGTCCATGGGCGGCCACAGGCAAGGGCCGGATTCCAGGAGGGAGCGGGCTGGCTCAGACCAGCTCTGGGAATACAATGCCCACTTTGTCGGCACCCAGGAGGTTGCCAGGACAGGCAAGGCAGGCGCAGGCATTTGGGCCCGAGAGGTCAGAACAGTTGGCAGAAATCTGGAGGTCTATCCGAGAGGGGAGCGGGAGGCTTGGTCTCTGCCCCTCAGAGGAGCAGGAAGGGCGGCAGCATCAGCATCCTGATGGCGGCAGCTGTTGTCCGGCAGAATGGCTGACCTTTGGAGCAGAAGGTTCTGTATGGCCGAAGAGGCGATTGGATCCTGCCCCCAGCAGTAGGTTGGGCTTGATGATCTCTTAAGTTGCCTCAAAGCAAGCCTTTTTCATGCCTTGGCTCTTTGCCTTCTGCTCACCAGCACAGCCATCCTTCTCTACCTGACCCGGAAGTACAACACACCCAGCTACTGGTACCCGCCTGATATGAAAAAGCGAGCCCGTGTGGACGAGTACCTGGCCTGGCAGGTCAGCACCATTCGGGCGGGCGCGTCCAAAATCCTCTGGCTCAAGGTGAGACCGGGCCCCCTGCTCACTGGCGGTGCAGCTCCCCCCTACCTCCCCGGCCCTGCACAGACTCCAATGTCCCAGGAGAAGGGAGGCCTGGCTCAGGGAAGGGGGCTGCTTTCCCCACCAAACCCACTGCAGGGGCTTCAGAGGAAGAGACGGGGGGCGGGGTGAGGGGCTCCCCACATAGGAGAAGACAGGGAGCCACAGGGTGGCAGCGTAGAAGCCACTTGAGCTCAGGGAGCTGCATGTGCCCCAGCAAGTTTGCCGATGGTTGGCATCTCACGGATATAATGAGGCCCATGCAAGGGACGCCCTCGGCAATCAGATCGTTTTGCCCCCCCCAAACACCCCTTCGTGCAGACATGCCAGTGAGGGGCCCATCCCCTGGCACTGTCCTCACAAGAAGGGAGACCCCAGCAAAAGAAGACCCCCTCCTCGGGACCAGCCTCGGGGAGCCGCCGTCCCGGCCTCCACAGCCTCCCTGGGCGAAGCTGGTGCCCACTCCTCCCACTCTCTTTTGCCTGTCTCGGTGGGGCAGGTGGTGATCCCGCTCTTCGTAGGCCACCAAGTGTCCCCACAGAAGCTCTACGAAGCCATGGAGGAGCTGAACCTCGCCATCCAGAAGCTGGAGGACAAATTCCTGCAGGAGAAGCCATTCCTCATCGGCCCAGAGATCTCCTTGGCCGACCTGGTGGCCGTCGTGGAGCTGATGCAAGTAAGCCCCCCCACCCCACCCCAACAGCCAACCCCTCCCCCAAGAGGAGACTTGGGGTCTTGCAAAGCAGACCCCCGTCAACCGCTGTGCCTCCTCTAGCCCTTCGGAGCCAGCTGCGACATCCTCGAGGGTCGCCCCAAACTCCAGGAGTGGCGCAAAAGGGTGGAGCTGACGTTGGGCAAGGAGCTCTTCATGGAAGCCCACAACCGGATCCTGAACCCCCAGGAACTGAAGAGCATCGTCATTGACCCGCCCCTGAAAGCCCAGATGAAGCCGCTGCTCTTGAAGATGCTGAAATAAACATGGGGACCGACCAGTGGGGCTCCCCCTGCCCCCACCCGTTTGATCTCACCTTGCAACCTCCCCCCCCCTCCACACACACGGGTTTCAGGCTTGGCTTCCAATCATCCTTGCTCCAAGCTCCTTTCCTTATTGCCTGGCCCACCTCAAGCAGGGATAATTCCACTTGGCCTAAGTATATTGCCATCTTCATCGGGGGCTTCTGAGGAACTCCACCCCCCACCCACCCCCCAGTTACCTTGGGGGAAGCCCAGATTCTGAACGAGGGCTGCAACACAGTTTCAGAAGGAATCTAGTACTTTTGCCCACCATGGATGTTAAAACTGCAAATTCTTCGTCCTCAAATTGTCCGTTGTCCACAATTCTTTAGGAAGTGTATATCGTAAAAGCATTAACAGAATAAAGTCCAGTGATGAATTAAGATAAAATGATTAGTCAGTAATGTTCAATATATACACCACACATACCACAGGGGAACAAGGGGCTTCCAAATTCTAACTCCCAAAGATTTTTCCAGCACTTGGGAATGGAAGCCTCAACTGGTCCAGGAAGTCTCTCCTCCCCCAGCAGGCGAGAAACTGGCATCTCACGGGATGGGGGGCATCTGGGTGTGTGTGTGGGGGGTGTGTGTGCAGAGGCCCTGAGCCAAGGCAGCTTTCCAGGCTTCGGGCCGGGCCGGGCCATGAACCGGGTCTGATCTTGCGTGTGATCAGATTGGGAAGTTCTCTGCTGACCTGGTTTAGACAGACATGTCCTATCATGCGGCAGTGATCCAAAGAGGGTTAACGGGGCAGTGGCCCCTCAGCCCAGCAGGGCCTTTGAGGAGATACGTGCGAGTGGACGTGAAGCAATCTGGCCCGCTTCAAAGCCCGCCAAATGATGCACCTGAACCTTTAGGGCAGGAGAGGGCAGTCTGTGTCCCGTCCCGTCCCCTCCCCGGCTCAAGTTCGAGTCTGGCGTTAACCTTGATTCCTGGCAAATATGAATGTTGTGGTTTCTGAAAAATGGTTGCCAGCTAGTCCACAGCAGGAAACAAACGAAAACTAAAAATGCAACCCCCAATTCTCACCTGTGGCCTCAGAAAACACTGCACGATCCCTGCCCACCAACCTCTCCCACACAGCAGCTTCTCCCACTTTCCATCATCCCCATTGTCCCCCCATCCCAACCCCCAGTGTGCCTTCACCCCAAGCTATTAACCCTCCTGCAGGACAACAGGTAGGCAGGTGAAGGGATAGAAGAAGCAGGGATCTTCACAGGCCATAGGAGGTGCGGTGAAGCTGATGAGAAGAACACAAGACCTTTTTTTCCACAACTTTGCCCAGAGCTCAAGACTTGCTCTAGGCTGGGATCCCCCTTGAATCTCTGCCTCGGTTGTTCACTCTGGGAAGCAGGGCACTGAAACCACCTGATTGCAAAGGGAATCTGAACAGGAGAGACACACAGAGCTCGAACAAGTTACAGTTATTTGGTTTATTTTTAATTTAGCAGGAAAAGCCTGCATGGTGGAGTTCTTATTGATCAAATATGAAGTTGCTGCTCCTCAGGAAAAGGTGTTTCTTGCCTTTAAACCAGTGGTCATCAACTGGTGGGGCCGGGGACCACTGGTGGTCCGTGAGAAAATTTTGGTGGTCCGCAGATAAATGTCCCCCCCCCCAAAGCAATTAATCCAGGCTGCACGGGAATACAAGGCTGTGCTGCTTTTTGCACGTTGCACCACCTGCAAATTTGCACATTGCACGTGCCACCCCCTGCGGCTGAGATTTCCAACCCCACCATGAGCCAGTCCCATATTCCAGAGCTGCAGTAGTCACAGGACTGGCCCTTTGGTCATCCGGAGCAAAAGGGCCAGTCCTGTGATGACCAAAGGGCCAGTCCTGTGACTACTGCACCTCTGGAATATGGGACCGACTTTCCCACCAACGCCAGCAAGCCACCGTCAGTCAAAATTCATATTATTGATCTGTGGGATTTAAAATTATGAGTTTGGTGGTCCCTGAGGTCCAAAAGGTTGGCAACCCCTGCTTTAAACTACCTCTACGAAAGAGACACGGGAAGACACGCCACTGATTAAGCAGGAATCCAAGTATGATTGATGGAAAAAGTATGATAAAGATCAATCTCAAAAGATCAGTGGCTTCTTGCAGTTAGAAGATCTAACTCGCTAAACTTTTAGCATTATTTTTACAGCACCCAAGTGCGACCCAAGAAACATTGTTGGCTTAATTTCAAAGTCCTTTACCAAAGGTTCTTGACAAAGAGGAGTCACGGGATAAGAGGGGAAAACATTTTGGCAAATCAGTAACTATAAAAGCAGAGACTAGTGACAGAAAAAGCCAATTCTTGCAATGGATCAAAATGGAGCCGCAAAGCCAAAGTTGTTTTGCTGTTGTTTTTAAATTGTACGGTGTTTAAGTTGCTGCCATAACAAAGTATGCAAACAATACCCTGAATTTCACATGCCATCACAAATCATGCTTGGGATTCTTCCAGACAGATCAGATGTTTCCAGGCTGAGGAATGTGAGACGTTATTTCTGAGGCCTGCTGGATAAGGGATAAAGCCAAAGAATACCAAAAAAAAAGAGGACAGTACAGGAAGCTCTCGACTTTGTAATTGTTCCAAGTTAGGACAGCTTCCCCCCCCCCCCAAAAAAACCCTACTTAGGGCCCCCTTTCGAATGTATGGCCGCTGCAGACCCCCTGCAGTCATATGCCCTTATCAGGGCTCTCCAACCTTGGCCACTTTAAGCCTGGCAGACTTCAACTCCCAGAATTCCCCAGCCAGCAA